GATGGGTGTTTGGAAGTGCCGAATGTAAGATGGGCCTGCGTGCCTAATTTGTGACACTTTGAAAAAAAAGTTCGTTTGTTCGTTCGACCACAGACACATCGTGCTGTTGTAGAGTTTCTCTGGTGTTATCTTTCCGTCTTGTTCTTGTTCCTCATTGTGCTCTACGTCGTACTATTTTGGTATGCCTTATATGCGTCACAAGGCATTATCTCTAAATGGGCAAACACTTCTATTTCCTGTTTTTGTATGTAATGTGGAATTGTTTTTGTGCCAAATTTTTTCCATTGCGATCTCATTCCTGATTTTATCTCTTTTTATTATTACTGCAGCCTTCAGACATATTTGAGCATACTTGTATAAAATATCTCCTTTGTAAGTATCACACATTATATACACAATAACGCCATTTTTTTTTTTTTGTGCAGCTATAACTCGGGATCCGTGCGCTAGTTTCGTCTGTCAAAACGGAGGTCGGTGCACTGCTCCTGCCGATGCACCATACTGTGAGTGTCCCAGGGGTTACACTGGACGTAACTGTGAGACAATCCAAGGTCAGATTTAGGACTTCTGTGTTTATCGTCATCATCACCCTCATCATCATGATCCTCATCATCATCATCCATCATCATCAAAATGATCATTTGGATCTACTACTGTTTAGTGTCTTTTTTTTTTTTTTTTTTTCAATATTGTGTCAGATGAAACTTTATACACAAACTTGATAAAATCAGAAACTACATTTTTCTTTAAAGTGCAATCTTGTTTCATTCATTTAAAAACTGAATCAATTTATTTATTTTTTTATTTTTTTTTTATTTTATGCGAAAAGATTAATAGAACAAGGTCAATCAGAACTACGATTGTGACAGTGCCCCTTTACGTTATATCCAGTTGCTTATCTCAGACACCTGTGCATGTGCGCAACAGCCAGACATCATATCGTTGGAACTGTGAACGATAAACTGATTGCAATAACCTGTGTGAACACAGGAATGGCTACCAACATTAAGCTTGAGGATTATGTAGTGTACAAGCAAAAAATAAAAATAAAAGAAAGACCCCAAAAATAGATCATATGAATATGATCGATTGGTTGCCGCCTTTCCTCAGTGTCTATGCATACGCTAGTACTGATTAACATTAAACGTCTTGGAAAGGAACAGTAGGCGCAGCTCTAGATATCTACCCATGGATATTGCCATTCTTTATAAAGAAGAACGTATTCAGTTCCCTCTGTCTATCTTCTTTTTTATAGCCCCTTCCCATACATCAAATCGTAAACATTGTAAATAATGTCACCGAATGTTTACGAAATGCTCACAATATTAGTTGTTTTGTTAATGTATACGGCAGGCTGTGGTCCCAGTAATCTAACATCATCATGCCAATGTATTTGGGACACCATGTTATCCATAACCTGTCTTGTTATATCCTTTCATCCATTAGGCTTACCATGTGCTGCAAAGGTCCTGTACAGAACAAAAAATCGTTTAATAATCACGCTGTTAAAGGCCGAAAGGCCTAAATATTACTTTCTAGCTGTAAACTTGACTTGATATTGAAAAAAAACAGATAAACTAGGACTTTTCAAAGCGACATGAGGGCCAGCTGTAAACCCAAACACAATTGCCCTCATGTGGGCGAAGTCTGTCAAAATTCATGGGCCTGAAAGTGTTAATACGAACGCAGAAAATAAAGGTTATTTTTGAGACAATGTGTCTGCAACAGTTTTTTAATCAATATGTGTATCTATGTATATATATTATGCAGTGTGTTATTAGTTTTTCATAGTCGATGTTAACTATAGAGTTGAAGCAAGATTTAGGTTCCCTTCTCTTCCCCCATCTTTTTTTCCCCTTTTTTTCCATTATGAGCCTATTTTGTAGCAGACTCACTAACCAAAGTGTAATCAAAGTCGAAAAAAATTTTGGAAATATGTTTCAACTAATAGCGATCGGGCATATAATGCTGCTAATATTTGTATATAGCAATCGACACTTATCATTACAGTTTCCTTTTTTGTCTAGATCCCTGCCAAAACATGAGATGTTTGAACGGAGCTAGATGTCTGACCCAGGGGACACAAGCTTTCTGTCAGTGTACACGGGGATACACCGGGCAGTATTGTGACACAAGGGAAGGTGTGTACTTGTTACACCAGAGACAGCTGTGTATTTTTTAGCACCAGTGACAGCTGTGTATTTGTTAGCGTTAGCAACAATGACAGCTGTGTATTTGCTAGCGTTAACACCAGCGACAGTTGTGTATTTGTTAGCGTTAACACCAGAGACAGCTATGTGTATTTTTAGCATTATTGCATGTGTGTTGTTTGCGTTAGTTTGACTTAGTACTAAAAAAGTCAACTGTGGATTATCGCGGCTCATAAGGGAAGCTATAAGAGTAGGATTACAACTGACTATGCATGTCGTAAGAGGTGACTACGAAAGGTTACTAATAGACTTATATTTAGTGCTGGCAGAAAAATGAAGAGATCTCACTTAAATATTAGAATGAAAGAGACAGCATAAATTTTTGTCAAGATGGCGTAAATATTGATGTTTGTTTTTCGGCCAGCATCTAACCGAATTGAAAATTATAACAGTCACGACAGAAATGAATCATTTACGTATTATTCTAGGCGTAAAAAGTAAAGGTCGACTTAGGACCGATGGTATCAGGAGGCGAATCGGCACAGAAATAAAACTGAACTATATTAGTAGACAACAGGTCAAATGGTTTGGTAATATTGACAACAAATAGGGCACCACTGAGCAATTTTATACATATACCCTGGTGGCAAAGTCAGAGGTAGACCAAGCAGAATGTGGACCCGGGACATATCGGAGACGCTGAAATGTATTATATACGAAGCGAAGTAAAGGGCTTGTTTCAGAGACCTCTTTCTGCCCTGGCGCCGCGAGGCATTCCAGGAGTAGAGATATGAAGAAGATAAAAATAAGACAGACAGCTACCTTGTGAGCTATGGGTTGTTTTCTATCTAAACAATCATCAATAAGTCAGCAAAGTTATGGACATCATTTACTTGAGTTCCGACGATTCAATGAGCGTGTAAAGACAGCAGTAGCAGAAGACGAAGAAGAAGAAGAAGAAGAAGAAGAAGAAGAAGAAGAAGAAGAAGAAGAAGAAGAAGAAGAAGAAGAAGAAGAAGAAGAAGAAGAAGAAGAAGAAGAAGAAGAAGAAGAAGAAGAAGAAGAAGAAGAAGAAGTAAGATAGACAGACACACACACATACACACACACAGAGTGAGAGAGAGAGAGAGAGAGAGAGAGAGAGAGAGAGAGAGAGAGAGAGAGAGAGAGAAGAGAAAGGTAAGCAGTTTGTCATTTTGGCATAGATGCATTGGACACTATACTTCCCCACATGGACTGTAAGAAAGCAACACCTAACACAGACAAACGTTTTAGCGATGTATTAATGTCTTTTAATTGAGTGGTTCATCAATATTACCTCATCTTCTTCTCAGCATTCAGCAATGTTACATCTGCCGTAACGTTCTAGTTGTTCTTTAATTTCTTAACTTTGATCTTGTTCCAGAATCAGTTTTGGGTGCACAACCATTTCACATATCTATCTTATTTGTATGCAGACGGATAGTTCCTTCCTTTTTGAACAGATACACTCCGACTGTGAAGAAAACTCTCCTAATTAGATGCATTTTACGACATTGGTGGCGAATCTAAACTTCTCAATCCTTATCCCAAGATAAAGCTCGGAATCTACAAGGCGAGATCATTCAATATTTTTATTTCTGTTTTCACTGTCAGACCCCTGTCGTGACTTTGGGTGTCTTAACGGAGGTCGCTGTGTAATCCAGGGAGGGCAACCATCTTGTGAATGTCCCCGAGATTACAGAGGTCCAAGATGTGGCATCAGAGACGGTAAGTTGAGGTGAACAAAGATAAGAGCTGCCTATGTGTGTCCTTTCTGTGTTGAGGTGAACAAAGATGAGAGCTGCCTATGTATGTCCCTTCTGTGTTGAGGTGAACAAAGATGAGAGCTGCCAATGTGTGTCCTTCAGTGCAGATAAACGTAAACTGTGAATTAACTTGTGTGGGGTATTGCACTGTGTAAATTATTATTATTATCATTTTTATAATTATTATAAGACTGTTGATATGCCTGTAGGTGTTTCAGCTTTCCTTTACACAGTTATACTTGTTTAACGATTAACTACGATAATTCGGCTTTAAGTATCGTAAATACAGAAGATATTGCCTAATTATGAGTTGAAGTGGTGCAGTGAATAGTAAGGTAATATACATTTAAATCGTTCATCTTAATCTCCAAATGAAGAGACAGCTTGTTACAGACATACTTCATTATCAGATTTAAAAAAAAAAATAGTAGTATGTTGTTACAAGTATTGTTTTATATGTATGTATGTATGTATATGTATATATATATATATATATATATATATATATATATATATATATATATATATATATACATACATACATACATACATATTTATATATACACTCATGTGCATTATGTAATTAATGCTTTTGTTTCTGAACCAGCTACCGCGCCTCAGCTAACCGTCATTAAAAAAAAAATATTCTTACTTTTCCCTAGACCCCTGCTTAAGTTTCAGATGTGAAAATGGAGGTCGGTGTGTAACTCGTGGTGACGAACCCGTGTGTCAATGTCGCGAAGGATATCGAGGGCCCAGGTGTGGTGTCCGGGATCGGGATGGTGAGTGTATATGATGTTGATTTCCATAACATTCAATATATCTTAGAAAACAGTAATGAGTGGGGGAGGGGGGGGGGAGGCGCTAGTGGAAAGGGAGGGGGGCGCTAACAAGAGGAGGCAAAAGAGATGAAAATTCGGGCCACCAAGCTTTTAAACAGTCCACCTACAAACTGTGCTGCAAAGACCCTCTTCTTGTAATGACAGTAGACAGACATATGAGATAATCCGTGAACATGCTTCAGAAAATCGTAGGATGTAGTTTACGCTTCGAAAGGGTAGAAAGCATTTATAAGTCGCAATTAGCCCCATCAGCCGGATCTACACACTGGGTATCCAATTGATACCCTCGGTGACGACTTTGCTAGCCCCCGGACTGAGATACTCGCCCAACGTCCGGGCTGGCTCTGTACATGTGGGAAAAGCTTCACGGGGATGCATGGTCTGAGAACGCATGCCGGAAGAATAAAATGCGAGGGTGCTCCACGCAGTAAACGCCGTCGCAAACAAGTTTCTGAGTCGTCAGGGTACGACGGGCAGGGTGAACCCCACTCGCCCGGAGAGGCCCATGACGTCGACTGCGGAGGAGCAAATTTGATGATTTCTGAAGAAGTGCGTTCCAGAATCAGGTTTCCACCTGCGAGCGAGAAGGTGGTGTGGTGTAAGTTGGAGGCTACATTATGTGAGGTACTTAAACAAACTCTAAACAAGAAGTCGCTAGGCGACAAGCTTACACAATTTGGTGATGTAATATACGAACACTGCTCCCGCGAGTTCGGGACAGTAGTAAAGGCACAGCCGGGTGCCAAGCAGAACACTAGCAGGAGGCAGAGGGACATTCTGAAGTGTCGGGCAGACAAGAATGCCCTCAGAAAACGGTTCAAAGCCGCTACGGGCAGCGAACGGGAGGGGCTGTATGAAGTGTGGGTGCATTTAAAGAACAAACACAGTGCCCTCTGTCGTGCCGAGCGTTTCTGTAACAACAGACGTAGAACCAAAAGGGAGCGAGAGAAATTTTTTAGGGACCCGTATCAGTTTGCCCGAGGTCTATTCGAGCAACCGAAGTCTGAGACTCTGGTTGTCAGTCAGGAAGAACTAGAGCTACATCTACCCAAGATGTACTCTGATAAAAAGAGGAGAGAGCCTCTCGATGACAATCCAGAGATCCTTAGCGGTCTTTAACAGCCTTCGGTGCCGAAGGTACCATTTAAAATGGTACCTCCCCTTTGGTCTGAGGTTGAGGACGTTGTGAAAAAGGCCAGCGGCAAGTCTGCCCCAGGTCCGAACGGTGTTCCGTACGTTTTTTACAAGCGTTGCCCGAAAATCCTTAAAATGCTTCACGTCTTGTTGAGACAAGCGTGGATCCGCAATCACATATGTCCAGAGTGGTCAAAGGCAAATGGGGTCTACATTCCCAAAGAGCAGGACTCGAAGAGTCTTTCCCAATTCAGGCCCATCTCGCTGTTGAATGTCGAGGGTAAGATATTCTTCTCGGTCATGGCTCGCCGGCTCACACAGTATCTGATGACTAACAAGTACATAGATACAAGTGTTCAGAAGGGTGGTATTCCAGGCGTTCCTGGGTGCCTTGAACACGCGACCATGATTTGGGAGGCTATCCAGAGAGCCAAGCATGAGAGAACCGATTTGCACGTTATATGGTTGGACTTAGCCAACGCCTACGGGGCAGTCCCCCATAGGCTACTGTGGCGAGCCCTTCGCATGTTTCACGTACCGACACAGATCAGTCAAATGATCGAGCAATATTTCTCTAAGTTCGCTTTGCGCTTCTCTACCTCGACGTTTACCACGAGGTGGACTGAGTTGCAGATTGGGATAGCTATGGGGTGTACGATCTCACCTATACTGTTTGTCATGGCAATGCAGACCATGTTAGACGGGGCGGCCGGCTACGGACTGGGCCTTCAAATAGGGGATCACTGGTTGCCGCCACTACGCGCATTTATGGATGACACGACTATTATAACGGGCAGCGAGGAGTCTGCCCGCACGATCCTGAAAAGTTTGGACGCGGTGGTCCAATGGAGCGGTATGCAGTTCAAACCGCAGAAGTCGAGGAGTCTGTCAATCCATAAGGGCAGGGTGTCGGCGACCAGTTTTACGGTGGCAAGGAATAAGATCCCTACGGTTCTGGAGGAACCGGTGAAGAGCCTCGGTCGCGTTTACGATTCAAAGTTATCTGATAGAGCGGAGGTCCGGCGAATACACGAGTCACTGGCTACAGGCCTGCTCGCGATCGAGCGATGCAGGCTGATCGGAAAATTCAAGGTATGGTGTCTCCAATTCATGTTGATTCCAAAGCTTCTATGGCCACTGCTAGTCTACGAGGTGACGATGACTGCAGTGGAAACCATGGAAAAGAAAATCAACACAGCCTTAAGAAAGTGGATTGGTGCACCACCTTGTCTGACCGACGTGGCTCTGTATTGCAAACAGGCTAAGCTGGTACTTCCGTTCAAGTCAAAAACTGAAGAGTTTAAAGTCGGCAAGGTAAGACTCGCCATGCTTTTGCGCGAGTCTTCAGACCCAAATGTCACCTCTGTCCAGCCCGCTCTAAAGACTGGAACCAAGTGGAGAGTCCTCGATGCGATAGAATCTGCTCAGAGCGCACTAAAATTGAAGGAGATAATGGGATACACACAAACCGACCATCGAGGCCTAGGGCACGGGAAAATCAATTGGTGGTCAAAGGCCTCAGCCAAAGAACGCCGAGACATGGTGATACAAACGGTGAGGGACAACGAAAACGAGGTTCGGGTCCAGAAAGCAGCCCAGCAGTCGCAGCAGGGCCATTGGGTCAGCCTGGAGAGCGCATTGCCAAGAATACTCACATGGGGTGAGATCTGGCGGATGACCCCGCTGCGACTGAGCTTTATCGTTCGTTCGGCGTACGATGTATTACCGTCCGGTGTTAACATGGTTAAATGGTCTGCGACCAACGATCCGACTTGCCCGTTGTGCAAATCGAAGCAAACTCCTGAGCACGTCCTGTCCGCGTGCAGGAAAGCCCTAGGTCAAGGCCGATATACCTGGCGCAACAACAAGGTGCTAAAGGAGTTAGCAGCCGTTGTCGACCAGGCTAGAATGAGGGCTAACGCCAGAGCCAGTTCTAGTATCGCCCCCATTCGTTTCCTCAAGGCTGGACAGGTTCCAATTGGTAAGGTCAACAAAAACGCATTCGCTCCATCTGTGCTAGACTCTGCGAGGGACTGGTTACTGGCGGTTGATCTGCCAGGCCATGAACGGCATCCCGAGTTGATCCGTAAAACCGGCCTGCGACCGGACATCGTTCTCCATTCTGCGCAAAAACGGCAGCTCATCCTGATTGAGTTGACGGTCCCGTTTGAGTCGCGTATGGAGGAGAATCATTTGTACAAGCTCGAGAAGTACAGTGATTTAGCAGCCGGTTTCAGGAGAAACGAGGCTTACACGGTACGGGTATTTGCCGTCGAAGTGGGAGCGAGAGGCCTCGTTTCCACTTCGCTCTACAATGTGGTGAAAGAACTAGGATTGCGCGGTAATGAACGGAAACGAACACTCAAAAAACTGGGAGAGGTGGCCGAAAGGGCCTCTAGCTGGCTTTGGACGCAGCGCAACAACGTAGGGGACGGGCCTCGGTGAGCTGGCCCGGGTGTCTAGTGGAAACGAGTTTCTCATCCCTTTGAAAGTCCATCGTGTACGAATTGTCTGCCAGTGTTTCTCTGCCAACTGCTAATAAAAGTCCAACATGTGTCCGGTAAACCAAAGTAAGCTTGTCGCTCGGTCGTCCAGGCACGCTGACTGTTCTAATTAGGCTGCCGTGGCGGCTTCTTATCTCACAGTACCTCCTTCGAAACCACCAAGTCGTCTTGTCTCTGGCCGAAAGTAAAACACCATCCGGTAATTCCGTGCAGCGGGGAACCAGCCCTGAGCGTCATGAACTCAGGAGGGCCCACCTCCGAATACGTCTAGGAATCGTGGGCCGAAACGTGTGTCGACGAGGATAATTTCTACTGATGACTGGTAGATCCCCGCTGTACTTGCTCCCTGTGAGTTTATTCCTATTGGGTATGCAGGAGTAAACGGCAATAAACGAGCTGACTAGCTGGCAAGTAATGCACTAATGCATAGGGGAAGAAACATAGACAAAGCTGATATCATCAACCATTTGCAGACTAGGTTGGGAGTAATTATGAATCTGATGCTAACACGATTTCCTGACCTGGGATCAAAGCCTGGTGAAGCATGCGTACGCCATAGTCAAGACCAAGACAGAAGACACTAAAATCAACTTACTATGGGAACAGTCAGTGTAGGTACCTTCAAGTGGCTGCTGTAATGAGACACGATTACGCCTGGGAAAGTGCTCTGCGATAACATAACACACCATAACATAACATAATCAGCATAATGATTTTTAAGAAATAAAAAAAGACAAATGTAAAAAGTTACATGTTAAACCCAAGTTCTTGAAGAAGACTTAAGTCCAGAAAAAATAAACGATAAACATCAAGAACTTTCCGTTGGGGCTTTATAGTCGGTGAGCACTGGTTAGTTGCGTATCCTTTACAGGACGTTGCAGAACCAACCCCAGCAGCCCCTGTCTGTTGTTTGGTTTCTCTGGGGAAATTTACGGTCAGTAGTTTGCCATTGCTTCTGGACAGTCGGCCCCCTGATACCACTGTCGAAACCAATGCAAGGCGCTTGGCCCGCAGCTGGGATCGAACCCGGCTCCCCGGCATTACAAAGCGTTCGAATCGACTTAGCCACAGAGCCGACTCGGTGAGCACTAACAAGAATAAAAATAAAAGGTCAGATGAACAGCTGGCCAAACGATTATATCGCTGGCTCTCATGCGATAGGCCCAGTTTGAATAGTCGGTAAAGTGATGGTTTTCTCTAGTTGGGGCAAAAGTAAACATCATAACACAGTTAGCATCTCCCTCTCCCCTTCTGTCCGACACCGACTCAGATAAAATATAATTTGTATTCATTTTTCTGCTAGTTGTTCAAAATCCCTGTCAAAGCTTGAGCTGCCAAAATGGAGGACGATGTGTCTCTCAAGGCACCTCTGCCTACTGTCAATGCCCAAGAGGATACACTGGCTCAAGCTGTGAAAGCAGGGGTAAGTTATCAACTTATATTTATATATATATATATATATATATATATATATATATATATATATATATATATATATATAAATAACTTTTTCATCTTCTTCAGCATTCCGAGCCCTTGAGGGTCATTGTTGCATATATCACCCGTCTCCATTCATCGCAGCAGTAAGTCATCTTTTTCCAGTTGGCGACACAAAGTGTTTTAGGTGTGCCTGCATATTATCTCTCAACAACTTATTGGTCTGCGGTGTGGTCTATGACCATTTACCTTCATTGTGTACAGTTTTTAACCTCTCTGTCATCTGTCAATCTCTAAATATGCCCTAACTATTTCAGTCTACTGACCCCCATGATGCCAGTGATTAATGTTTATTTAAAGATATTATGAATTTCATTGTCTCACTCTCCATTCCCTGCCGTTTGCAAGTTTGATGGATCCACAGATTCATCGTATATATTACAGACTTGAATAATCCCAAGCTCTGATTGTTAAAAACGTTTCTTAAAGCGAGTGGGTCTCGCTAGTCCCAGTCGCTATTACCATTGACTTTGATTGCCATGCCTCCATATAAGCACATCATTTGAAACTATCATCTAGAAAAAGAAAAGATGCCAACATATAACCGTTACTCTTCATCCTGAGATGTAACTCTGTCGACACCAGAAAGTTCTCGGGCATCTCTTGTCATGCGCGTAATCCCCTCTGGGCACAAAGTGGGAAGTCATCTCATGGGTTTTTAGGTTTTCACATGAGCTTACTTTTCTTGGCGACTGGGAGTGGCCACGTGTTGCTACACAGTTTCTCAAGAAGATAACACAGGACTTGTTTAGCATGAAGACGCTGACAGACATTTTGACTCACACCTAATTTATGTAAGTGTTTTTTTTTTTTTTTAGTCCGCAGTGTGAAGTACGTTCGCGAAAAAGTTCACTTTTGAGTTCTGTTCGGATGATTAAGGGAATCTTCTTCAGGGTTATAACGTGTGTTTGCTGTCCAATAATGATTTTTTTCCCCTAATGTAAGTCAAGTCCGTAAAGGACAGTTTTCCTAATGTAAATTAAGTCCGTAAAGGACAGTTTTCCTAATGTAAATAAAGTCAGTAAAGGACAGTTTTCCCTAATGTAAGTCAAGTCCGTAAAGGACAGTTTTCCCTAATGTAAGTCAAGTCCGTAAAGGACAGTTTTCCCTAATGTAAGTCAAGTCAGTAAAGGACAATTTTTCCTAATGTAAGTCAAGTCAGTAAAGGACAATTTTTCCTAATGTAAGTCGTCAGTAAAGGACAATTTTTCCTAATGTAAGTCAAGTCAGTAAAGGACAATTTTTCCTAATGTAAGTCGTCAGTAAAGGACAATTTTTCCTAATGTAAGTCAAGTCAGTAAAGGACAATTTTTCCTAATGTAAGTCGTCAGTAAAGTACAATTTTTCCTAGTGTAAGTCAAGTCAGTAAAGGACAATTTTTCCTAATGTAAGTCGTCAGTAAAGAACAATTTTTCCTAGTGTAAGTCAAGTCAGTAAAAGACAGTTTTCCCCAATGTAAGTCAAGTCAGTAAAAGACAGTTTTCCCCAATGTAAGTCAAGTCAGTAAAAGACAGTTTTCCCCAATGTAAGTCAAGTCAGTAAAAGACAGTTTTCCCCAATGTAAGTCAAGTCAGTAAAAGACAGTTTTAACGCCTTGAGCACGTCAAGTGTATGGTGCTAGACTTACACGTTTAGAAACCAATCAGCACTCAAAAGTAATAATCATCATGCCAGTTACCTTGCCTCTCTATGACATATATTGGTACCTATTTTAGTCTAGATATTCCTAAGTCCTAAGATCTATTATATAATTCCGTCTCGGTTTCAATTTGAACTCAATACTTTCGGGAGGGAAGGACATTTTCTAGCAACTGCACTTTGTAGTGATGTTCTGGCACTTTTTTCCACACTACATAGATATAGAAAAACAAAAATACAGCCTATTTCCGCCCTTTAAAAAATATATATTTATACGCATGGGGGTTTATTTCAATGCACCAGGTATTAAAACGATCGATATCTCTCAGTGATGAGACTGTTTAAAGTGTCAAAATTAAAATGACGCTCTTTAGTTCTAGCAAATTGTCACATATCACTCCTGTCGCGTGCCTAATGTAAGGATTTCTCCTTCAGAACCAACAGCACTCAGAGATAATTATGTTGAGTCGTTTGGCTCGTATTGGTCTAAGGGATTCCCCGTGGCCAATATACGCTCAACTTATCTCTGGGGTAGGGCAACTCAAGTATTGGCACTACAAAATATATCAGTATATAAATACCATATTTCTAGGCACACTTGGCTGGACACCCCCACTACTTACTAAAGAAAGCCCCCAGGTTATGATAGTTCATTATCATAACCATGTTAACACATATAATGAAGATACATACACATACAACTGCTAAACACTTAAGAAGGTGACATAGAGAAACCTAAGTCAGCCATGAAAATGAATGCATGTATTTAGTATAATATCTGTACAAAAACAATTGAAGTGAATTCCAGCTATCAGTGAAAGAATCTCAGCACTAATGTCTAGATCCTAAGGAACCTATACAGACAGCCGGTCCTGGAGGTGACTAAATGTCATCATTGGAACCAAGGAGCTGTGAGAAAAACAACATTATGCGAAGCATCAGACTTAGCTTCTATCCTTTCTGTCTATGATGCCTCCTTCAGCTCCGGATGATTCGACTGTCTTTGATTCTGGAAATTCTGCTCCACTGGATCAAATAGTCAGAGGGTACCTCACCATAGAGGACACAATACTGCACTGGTACTTAGCAAGTCTCTATCACCAAGTATAACACAAATTGTTTGTGAGCCAAACCTAAGCTCTAGCACTGGTAGGCTGTTTGAGGTACCATCTCCCCCATGTTGGAGATGTCAGGAACCTTCACAGGTGTTAGCTGGTGGGTAACAGTTTGTTTCTGGTGGTTTGATGGTTGGTGGGTGTTGGTTGGACTGTGAATCTTCTGCCAGCTCTTCACAAAAGATACATCCTGTCAAGAAAATAACTCAACATTAGTCATCACCAAGAGGGTAACATCTTGACAGGAAAGACAGAACAAGCATCAGTCATCAACCCCTATCTGCTGACTCCCGCCTGCTCTCCTGTTTCATTCCTCAGATTGCCTCTCCAGACCAAGAGACATAAGTCTCCTATATTTATCTGTCTGTTTAGTGCAAGAGAAGGCAAGTCAGATATACAGTGGAGATAGATAAAGTGGTCTAACACATATATCACTCTCTCTCTCCCCCTCACTCTGCACACAGACACCAATATTTACTGTCAGTACCTGCATTCACTAGCTTTCCCAACCGCCCGTCTTACCATCCACTGATCTGGGTCAACCATACTCATACAATGGACGACACAGTCCCGACCTAATTCTGGCCCCATTTGGTATGCACAACTTCTATAGTTTAAAACGTACACAATTGTAAGGGTATTAAGTTTTATCAGTATGGGTGGTTTATTGAGGGCATAAGCTATTTAGTCTGTACATGGGAAGGTCTACGTTCGAATCCGCTTCTCTAGCGATCAAGAACGGTCGAACTAAGTGGGATCACACAGCCGATACTGATTTCTCTACAGCAGTGACTACTTTACAGACATCATTCTAGGTACTCGTAAACTATAATTAACTTACCCAAGCATATGTAAAAACTGAGACATTCCAGATTGCCTTGAAAAATGAAATAATACAGGCATAGATTAACACGTCTGAACGCTTGAGAAGCTGGCAAGGAGAATAGCGTCACTTAGACACTTCAGGCGTTGGTAACAAAAGAAGTCCCTTGTATACTTGGGCAAGGAGTAAATCGGTTTCCAAGAAACCTCAAATAACGCCCTGAATATATATCGAAGAGATATACATTTAAAAGTGGAGTTTAGTTAAAGTAACCAGAAAAGGCAGACATAATAATGTTGTCCAATAAAGGCCTATATATATAGATATAAGGGACTATATATTTCTGGGCGAGTCCAAGTTTGAATTTTGTGCAGATTACAGGTAAGACAGGTTATCAGCCTTACAGACCGATGCGTAATGGCTATCATTTCACGACACAAATACAACCAGTAATGTTCATGTAAAGACAGCCAGAGATCTTCAAAGCACTTGAACTTACGACCTGAATAATAAAATTCGAAAAGGAACCGACTACCTCTAAATTTCCATAAGAATGACTTTAAAAGTTCGCCACAAGACGACTGTGAACCCCAACAAAATATTATCCACAAGTACTCACCATCTACCTTTACTTTCAGGTGCTCTGACTGTTCGACCACCTACTCAATGTCAAGGCTACGGTTGTAACAACTCCAATGACCGTTGTGGCGGATGTCCGGCTGGCTGGACATGTCAGTACATTAGCACAGGATGTCCCACTCTCAACTGCTCCACAACTCCCACATATCGATGTGTTTCTCAGAAGAAAAAGTAAAGACACGAGGCATCTTGTCCAAGCGCTGCTGAAACAAAAGCAGATGTTTTTGTCTATATTTTAATTTCAACAATTTATATAATCTTCCAGTTTGTAAATAAAGATACTGTATCTAGACTGGACAGTTTTATTTCATTTAGTTTTTGTTGTCGTTGATTGATGCAGTTTTTATTAAACTCTAGAATCACTAAATTGAGATCAGAGAAATGCTTGGATAAATACTTGTACCGACTGCAAAAAGACAGAGAAGATGGAGATATATTGGTCACGCTCCGAGACAAAATAAACAAAGAATAACAAAAAAGGTACCCACAGTGAAAACAAACGGTGTGAGAAAAATAGGACGTGTAATGAAAAAATTAAGAAAAAACATTATTAAGAGAAGGTAAAATCACTGGACTGAACTCTGTGCCAGAAATCCAGAGGGTTGGATACACCAGAGCGGAGTGGAGGGATCGAATGCAAGCCCTATGTGACGTCTAACAGCACATAAAGGGTGATGATAATGATGATGAAAGTAAGTGTGAGTAACGTGTCTCTGAGGTAGTCGGAACAGACACAGATCACTTTTACTTTCATGCTAGATATGCAGGCGTGCAAGGAAACGATTAGGCTGACAGGCAAGTAAATAAGGCCTTTGTGAAGGACGGACGAACCATGGACCGGGCTGATATAATGAACGCTCTTCGAGATGTA